CATATAATAATTTCGTAGGTGATGAAATATAGGGATTATTGAAACTTAGATTTCTATCGCATTTTACCAAACCATCAATGGCGTTAAAAATACTTCTCCCCAAAATACTTGTTGATTCTCTATATATAAATGCACAAACTATTATTCCCAAAGCATATCCGCAACAGCATATGCCCATCAACTGCAATTTATCTTATGGCTTATTGTCGTTACTTAATCCTTACAAACTCCTAAACAAGAAGAATAATATTAAGAAAATGAAATAAATAGATGCTATACACATTAGAACTACGCCAAAGCCTACAGTGTACATGAAATCGTATAGCTCCCATTTATTTTGAATTGCAGTTGTTATCACTTTGCATATTGATCTACCTGCAAATGTGTAGGCTGTCCATGCAATTATTGTTATTGATGCAAATCCAAAAAATAAGCCTACTACGAATCCTGCTTTAGTTCCAACAGGAATGAACCAGATCTACATATAAATTTTCATATTCATACAGTTGATAACAGAAACAATATCAAAAGGATTAGAGCGTATATCAATTACGTAAAGAACATTCCTATTATTGTATTTGATATCTGAATACATCCATCAGCCAATTCACTTGAGTAGTTATGCCTTACCTATTATTATTTGATTGAATACTTCATATTATCTCACTATTTCCTAGGTTTCACATATTAATTCAAATTGCTTAGCTAAATATTGTGGTTCATCTTCTCTCTCTTGCAATCCACCACAATACGCAATTATACACCATATTAATGCTAATATTGATGCAAGTATTATTAAAATTATCGGCCAATCTGCCATTAAATCTATTCCAGCAGCCCCTGCCGTAAATACCAATCCCAGTCCTATAGCACCGCATAGATATTTCGTACAAGTCGCTATTGGACCAAGGCACATTCCTAATATGTCACCGACACACATTTATATTAAAAACGAATTAATTATAATCTCATTTTCTATAAAATATTCAAATTCATCGTATATTGTTATTTTTAAATAGCTCCCCCATCACTTATTTATCTTGTTGTAACAAAGCAACCAATTATTCATATCCATTTTCCTACTTTTAAATATAAATTCATTACTTCTCCATTTGTACCACCGAATAAATTACTTAAACCATTATGATTACTGCTAACATTATTGTCTTCCTCTTCTGAAGTAACAGGTTCTAATTCTGTTTATTATTATTACTATTATTATTGCTATTATTGTTATTGTTATTATTACTATTACTATTAGGATGGTAATTATTGTTATTATTATTACTATTATTACTATTATTACTATTATTATTATTACTATTATTACTATTATTATTATTACTATTATTATTGTGATTATTATTATTACTGTTGCTGCTATTATAGCTATTATTATAATTGTTTTTAGCTGGCTTTCTTTTCGATTATTTTACTTTCTACCCATTTACAAACATCCTTGGACTAAAATTTATGTTAAATAAATACTTTAACAACATTTTTTGCTGTCTCATATTATAAAGGGGTAAAACTACTTAACATAACTGCTGCAGCTTATTATTTGATTGTAATTACAAAACATAGTTTAGAGATCAGGTTTCCCCAAAATTTTATGATACCCGAATCCCTTCTTTAATAATGCGATTCAGACAAAAACTCTTAGAGCTTAAAGTTAGCAAACAATTATGAACTTTGCAATTAATCATAATGCATTAAATATACAACAGTAGAGAATGAATCACTTGTGAGAAATGGACATAAATTATTATTCTTTCTTCAGCATATCACTAAATTTATGTATTTCTCCAAATTCATGATATTTTTCTGGAACCACCCATCCCGCTAAAATTATTTACATGTTTTTATTAGCTGATTTTTCCATCTACTATAATGTAGCATCTTATGAAAAATATTTTTGATGCTTAAATTCGCTAGAAATCTTTGGAAATTCTTTCAATTTATTATCCAAAGCATTGGTGTAAAATTCACAGGTTATCTATTATTCCTTTATATGAAATTTATATCTTTTTCCTATCTTTAAGATCTTATCCCCAAAGCCAAGAGGAGTAACCTAATTATAAAATAACGAATTTACTTCAATTTTTTAAACCACAATTTTTTATTCTGGTTCATCATCATCAGGATTATATAAAATTGGTTTATTTGGATTTTCAATTTTCTAGATTTCTAATTCTGGTAAGTCTGAAGACATTGATTCATTAATTCCTTTGCTAACAGATCTACTTGGAGAACGTATAGACTTTTAAAATTGTTACTAATGTTAGGATTATAATGATTATTATGACTAAATGGACTATTGTGATTAAAATTAGGAAGTTTATTTATTCTAATCCGACTAAAAGTTATCATAAATAGATTATTACTATTATTTTTATTATTATTATTATTATTATTATTATTATTACTATTACTATTATTACTATTATTACTATTATTATTGTTATTTTAATAATTATTGTGTCTGTTATTACAATTAAAGCTATTTTAATTGAGATTACATTTATTATTATTATTATGTTTATTGTTGTTACAACTTTACGTTTGGATAGGAATCATTTAAAATTTAGTTGAGAACATCTTCTTTCGATAATTTAGTGTTTGTTGAATTTGATTAAACCTGTTTAGCAACAGGTTAGGCATTTTTCTAATTAACTGGTTATATTGCAACAACTTTATTTTTATTTGGAGCTAGAGGATTATAATCCTATTGTTATTGTGAAGATGGAGCATTAGGTCTTTGCATTAACTTTTCTTCTATCTATAGAAGTGCTTTGCCTTCATATTTTTTAATTGCATAATTCACTTATTCAATATTGAACCCTTTCTCAACAATCCTTTTTGAGAAATTAGGCAATTATTGCAATTCTTTAAAAGTTTAGATAAGTGTTGTCATTCTTTCCGTGTACACTAAATTATAAATATATTATTTACTTAATTTATTTGTGTTGAAAGTGCCAAACTCCTAATTTTCAAAAATCTTAACTCTGGCTTCATAAAAAATTTAATTCCTTAAATTCTATAAAGTAGGATTGCGTAAAATAGCTTATAATAATTCTTTTTTCTTTGCATCTCTTAATTATTAAGTAACTGCTTCTTAAGTCTTCTTGACTTTCTTTATACTAATAAATTCAATATTTTATTCTTCTGCTTCTTATCTTTATTGGTTCTTCTTTCTGATCGATTATTATTTTTATTTCCTATCAAAATATGAATTTATATCATCAAAGGGTTTCTTTGGTTGTAATTCTCTTAACCTTTCTAATTTATCATGTTAAGTAATATGTTGAAGTTCAATTTATAATTAAGAAGCATCAACTTTTCCATCAACACATGAATCCAAGCAGGAACCACTTGCCACAGAATCTATCAATTTAGCCATTATTTATTCTAAATATATTAATGGCACTTTCATTTTTTCAATTGATAATTTTTAATTATTCATTAAAGCCTAATCAATTATATCATAACCTTAATTCAACATATTTCTAAATGAAGCAAATCCCCATTTTTATTATGGATTTTCCTTAAATTGATTGACTTATTTAATCCAAATAGCAATCTTGACTCTTTCATATTGATCTCCCCATCTAAATATGCTAAGCAAATCATGGAAATCATTAAAAGCCTGTTCTGTTTATAAATTATTTTCAATAAATTCTAATTTCTTATTAAATTCCTAGTATTCTCTTATAAAGTGATCAGCGTCAGGATATATAATTATGATATCCTTATACTTCTTCTAGAAATTGTTCATCAAATCTGTCAATTCTTTTCCATTAGGAGATGCCTTTTACTTTGAAATTGTTTATCTTAATGTTGAATAACTTTGCTTTAGCTGTTCAAATGAATTCAACCAAGATTAGACTAATTACTTCTCTTCTGGCAAAGGTAAGTTCTACAACTTTTCTAGTATGTTTTGAACTACAACTTCCTTTGTTTTAATTTGAGATTGGCTAATCTCTTGAATTTCATTTTAAATTTAAAGACATTCATGATATCTTATTTCAACATCTTATGATCTTTCTATATTGATATTTTGTATCTTATCGATATCTTTAATAGATTACTCTAATTCCTCAAAAGTATACGATTGATTATTTTTGATCTTATTGGCAATATTTTAAATCTTTTCGGCTACATTTAATAAACTATTCAATTCTATAATCTAATCTGGAATTTATAAATTATGAGTTTACAATAACAAAATGAGACTATTATACTATTTTTTAGCTTTGAATAGATCAACTGTTTTGTTCCCTTTTTAAATTTCTTTTAGTTTCAACAGATAGATATTAATTTTCAAATTATCCATTAATTATTAATCCTAGATGAACGATTAAATTAATCTTTAATATAAAGCAGTAAGTGCTAAAATGTCCTCACATGAACACTTGCTAAATTCTTCTTAGATTTGATGGATATTATAAAAGTCTGAATAGAATTCCTTAGAAATAAAGTCATGTGCTATATTAATCGATTTAATCTCTTAATCTAATAATCTAGCTTCCAAAATTGTGAAACATTGTTTAAATTTTTACAAATCTTATTTTGACTTCTTCTTTTCTAGGAATATCTATTTTCTATTATTGTAATCTTTGATTTTATCAACTAATGCATTGAAACAGGCTATTTTTTAAAGCAAACTTACACAAATCAAGGCTTGTTTAGGTATATGAGACATAATAATAACATCTTATAACAACTTCAGACTTTCATAAGTAAATTCTGGGGTTGTAGTAATTTCAAAATATTTCTTTACAATTGTAACCCAAACATTGTATATTTTAACTTAATCCCAGATTCCTCCTTTTATAGAAAGAGTAATCTAACTATATAAGTAGAACCACCCATCTAAATCTTGGGGAAGTGGTACTTAAAATAGGTAGTTTCCAATTTAAGAACCTAATGCAAAAACTATTTTTTATTGATTAGAAAACATTTCTGAAAATTAAATTAAATTGGCTTAGTCACTTTCATTCAATTTATAAGATTTAGAGATGACTTAATCTATTAATGACGATTGTATTTCTTATTTTGATTACCAAAGAGATAATAATATTTTAGCTTGCTTCTCCCAAAGAAAGTGTTAATAATTATTTAAAACAGCATTTATTCTTTTATCAAGTATGATTGATTATTTACTTAAAATATTATCTAATTCTAGTATGATAGTCTCATTATCATCTTTAAATAGAATTTAAAAGGGATTACAAACTTAATTAATTTTAAATTATAAATCTGGATTTTTATCATCTTCAATTTCCATTTCTTAATCTGGAGATTTATATTTTTAATAAAATTCATATAATTATTAAATAAATTAGCAAGCTTTATTCAAACTCTATAATAATTATTTCTCTTCATAAATTATCTTACTTTAAGAAATATCTTAGAGTAATTATTTAGCTTAATCTAATTATTCAGTATCAAATATTTCATTATCTAACAAAGCTTTAATTTCTTTCTTCTTCTATAAACATTTAGTTATCTCCTAATCAAATTGATTAATAATCTTTTCATCAAAATTTAATTCTTTAGATTTTTCAAAAGCTTATTCTAGTTATTAAAGTGTTTAAGATTTGGCAGTTCTTATTTTTTCAACCTCTTAAAATTATTCTAGTCTTTTCTATAATTCTTAGATTTCAGGAACATCATAAATCTTATTCATTTATAGTTCTGCTTAAAACTTCTTTCTCATTTATTCATTTAAGTTCTTTTGTTCAATCATGCCTCTTAATTTTTATCTAAATTCATTTAATTGCTTCTCCACCTACTCCAAAGTCTATTTGTCTTTTTCTGAGGCATTGATTTCAATAGATAGTTATTTTAACATTTAAAGGTGATCCAATGTGATCTTAGTCTGAATATCTTTAGTCACTTAGATTTCACTGTCATCCTCATCTTTTTCTTATATCTCTAAATCTTGCATATACCTTTCATACAATTAGTATTTAGATATAAATTCATACAACTCTGGAA